TATTTATTTCATTGTTTAATTTTAGTTTTATTCCTTAATAATATGATAATTTATGGATTTACTAAATTAATATGTATGTATAATATTATATGCATATGAATATGAATTGAAATGAATTTTGATAAATTAATATGTATTTTGTTATGAATTTTATATAAAAAATAATAGTGATTAACATACTAATTATTAAAAATGAAGTATTAAACAACTCAAAAAATTAGAGATACAATAAAAAAAATATTAATATTTATATGTAACACACTTATGTAAAACAACAAATTAATAAAGAATTGTTGCCAATAATTTTACTAGTCCTTATAAAATATAAAAATAGATGAATAAAAGATTTATTTTATATATTAAAAAAGAATATATTTAATAAAATTAATAATGAAGTCATTATTAAGTAATTTTAAAATATAAAAACTTGAAAAAAATAATTATAATATAATTTTTTTATTTTAAAAATATTCTTAAATTAATTTTAGTCATATCCTAGTTAGAAGCTCCAACTCTATATCAAGGTCACGGTCAATATTATCACTCATATTAATATCATCACTATCATCAATATCATCTCTATCATCAATAAAAAATATCCTTAGGCTTGTTATCCAGGAATTTGAATCCTAGGCTTGTTATCTAGAAATTTGTTCAATAATACTCTAATAAAAAAAACATAAAAATTTATCACTAGATATTTGACTAAATAAAACCACCCACTTCCTATAGAACCTATCACTAAAATACCCCTTAAGGGGGTAAGGCTAAGGCTAAGTGGAGCGAAAAGGATTTTCCATGACCGAGAAATGAGAATATTCTTAAATTTTACATGAATTTCAAATTAATTTTTTTATATAAAACATGTTTATATAATATATAATATTAAATATTTATAATTTATTCTTCCATTTAAAATTTTCTATCTCCGTCGCTGAGCGTAACACCTATTAATATGGCTATTCTCTCGTATTCAAGGTTATTGATAATTCCTGCGTGAATCCCACATCAAATATACCATTTTCTCAGAGGTTTTGAGCAACTTGAGAATGAAGCTCACATGGCGTTCAAATTGGACAGCTTGCTTGGAGTCAAATTGCCGAATCATGCAAGCATTGCAAAATTGCAACCCTAACAAAAAAATTCGCATACTGGCAACATAATACGCATAATGTTATTGCACTAGAATCAACAGAGTACATACATGGCAGTTTAAGACGAGTAATGATAGAAATGGTAAAGGGGCAAAGGAGAGCAAAAAAGGCAAATATTACGAAAGATGATGCATCTAAACAAGCACCAATGGAGAATCAAACCCTGGTTGCCCCATAAGTCTGCACAAGGTCGCCGCCCACCTCATATGTACACAATTCAAGATATCACGAACATAACAGAATCTTTTTAACCTCCAAGTAGTCGACGAAGCAGTTCAGGTGGCCAACTATTATAATCAACTGAGCAGGGTTGGATGCCCGGTCTGTAGCATCCTCTTGAACACATCCATCCCAAAAGGAGAATCCGATGAACTGAGTAATGGCAGTATAATGTTAACTCAGCAGTCTAATCATGAGCCTCAGAGAAATTTCCTAACAAAGAGAAATGATGACACAACAATATCTCATTATCAAGACAAGGGCAAGGCCTCAAAGGGCATTCAATGAATCCTAGTAGTTGCCAGCTATAGCTAGAGTAAATATAAGTGCGGCTTGTTAGTTAAAATGCCTGTAACAGACTTCTTTGATTTCTTTATCAGGTAAAATCAACATTGCTAAGCCAGGAGACTGGTTTTAGTTGGCATCACAGGTGCAAGCGGTTCCAATGAACTGGACCTGTTAATTTAACTTGCATTTGTGCACTACATGAATGAGGGCTGATAATGAAGGTTCACTGCCAATGCTCCTGGATCTTGTGGTTGGTGTTATATTACCCGCCACTCGGCCGAGGTTCAAGCATTGGTATTTACAACAAGAATAAAGGTAGTTCACATTATTGGCTAATAAGACCTGTAAATCACTTTAGCACACTTGATGTTATTTTCGTTCATTAATTCTCTCCATTACATAAGAAAATGCACCTCTGCCACTCAATTTCAGTTAATTGAGTACAATTTGCCAAAATTGAAAATTCCTCTCAGCTAATTGAGTAATCTTTTTTGCTACTTGAGTCATCATCAAATTTCCATTCATTCCCATTAACATCATCACTCACTCCCACCCTCCTTATCAAGTAGTATCATTTTTTATTTCGCAAATAATACTTAATTGGATGAAATAAAAAATACAAGGGTTTAATTGATTGAAATGATAATAAAGAGGCTTTTATGATTAATTAACAAAAAAACAGGGTGCAAATAATGAGTTTTACCAATTTTAAGTGGTATATTCTAGAGCGGTCGCTTGCTCCCACTGCAAACAAACCCTTTTCTTCCGTGGAAGCAACTATTGATCTAAGTAATAAAACAATCCAGCTAGCCCAAAAAACAATAGCATATAAAAGCCACAAGGAATGGGCATGCAAGCATGAAGCTACATGGAAGTCATTTCATTGACATCAGCAATTATCTGCAGATTATGATGAATTTAGATGAATGCCTTTTTCATGAAGTGTAATTGTTCACTCTTACAGCTTCCACATTTAGTTTTCTCATTTCATCTAAGAAATGTGAATGCTAAAATGTTTCCTTTCATATGATTATCGCTTTGTCAGTTCTGTTTGAAGAAAGGAAAGATCTCATGAAACAAATAAGTGGTAAAACTACTTCATAAAAAGAACTTTCATGAACCAGAATGCAGCTATACAGATATAATGTTAACAAATGCTGGAAAAAAGAATCATCCACAACAAAGGTGCTACATAAAAATGAGGGATTAAAAGGGGAAAAAAAATAAATCAAAGAACAAAAAGGTAAACTGTTCCAGAAAGAGAGGTATACAACATGCTGCAGCTTAGAAACACACATGATAAGTAACCTTTTTATGAATATATTGTCTTGTATCACATGTACGAGGAGAATTAGGACTAACCTTGGGATGGTAATTTCACAGGGAAAACAGATAATGTCTTCATTTATGGGGGGAACATGATCTTTTTTCTCATTCACAAATTTTATTATTTGGAATAAAACCTCATGAAGAGATGCTTCAAGTGCTTCCTTACGAACACCCCTGTCCTCGGATACAGTTTCTATAATGATGAAACACAATAAAGTTAGGGGGGAAGACTTCTGCAATTAGAGGGTTAAGCATTAATAATTCATCAGGCTGATACACAAGTGTGATGTTACCTCCTAGGTCAACCATTCGTTTTGAATGATGAGACTTTCCAGAGTGTGCTTTAGTATGTTGTGTTACATGCAAGTTGACATACCAATGTTCCCAAAACAGGCGTTCAGTTTTGTTGAACCATGATGGATGTTTGTTTTTCCTTTCATAGAAAGATACGCATATCTGCATGGTCAATCCAGAAGTCAGCAAACTATAGAAAGAGTATAAGAGATGAAAATCACTAATTTGTGAATGAAAGAGCAAGCTATAGGAATAATATTAGAAACAGAAATCATGTGTAAATTATGCACATGAAGTATGTTAAGCATCCAGAGATTAGTATGCATAAGCACTAGAATTTTGGTGGCCTGACACTTGCAAGGTGCCTAATGATGACAAAGAGGATTGAATGCATGAGCCAAACACAAAATACAACTTCAAATATTAACTAACACTAGGAGACATGAGAAAAAGAAGAAGACGATGACCTGGTGCACTGAAATGAAAGGAATATAAGCTAAATCCCTGTACCATTAAACAGTTTGGTTGGATCAACTTCAAGAATGCAGCATACTGCCTACCTGACTTTTCTTATTTGGGTGTTTCTCTACCCAACTTATGAATTGATCAATCTTTTCCTCTATCTTTTTCTCAAGTTCTACATCACCACATTGTACCTAAGCGATAAGAAAAAAAGATGGAACAAAAAACAATCAGCACGATATAAACAACAACATCCAGTTCACAGAGAGACATCAGAAGTTGAAGTGTTGATCTCCAGTCAACCAGCAATTCTGGAAATTCTGCACACATTCATTTTTGCTTCGTTTAAAAGCCAGAACATTTTTTTCATTCGCATTTTTTTCCCATGGTGAGTCCACACTTTATTTTAAATAGTGAAAGTGCAACATCAACAAACAGTTCATAAGTAATGTCGTCTCCCATCACTAGTTCTTACATGAAGTTTCAAATTTTCACAAACATCATCATGAAGCTCTAGATTGTTTTCATCCAAGAGAAACTGTAGCAATAACATGAAAGAATGTAGAATCACTTACATATGTAATGTCAAAAAGTTCCAAATCAATGTCTTTAGGCCGGACCAGACCCAAAGCTCTATGAAACACAATCGTGTGTAAGATGCCTGCAATCAATTTCACCTCATCAATTTGAACACAAAACACAATATGAATATAATCATTACCACTTTACAAAGCCAGAATGAGACAAGATTAACATCAACTTACCCAAAACGAATTCACTCAAAACATGATACAAAATTAATCATAATAAAATTTCATTGTATCCCATAACTGGGCAAGTAATAACTCACTAATCTTCATCCACGAACATCAAATTCTCCAAGCAACATAAGAAGCACTCAAAACTCTCAAAACAAAGTGCACGCAAAACATGACACTAACTAATAACATATATATATATAAACTTTAACCACTCAGAAACCTCAAACTCGATCAAAACACAAAACCCAGTTTCTAAAATTTACTCACAACGTAGAACTTCTCGTATCTCAAAGTGCTCAACTTCCTGAAAAACAAACCAATACAAAACAAATTTAATTTAATTCAAACTTCAAAATCAAGAAAAACCAGAAACAAAAACACAAATTTCACTGATACAAGAGATAAGACAGTGGTTTTTGATTACCAGTTCTTTGAGTTGGCAGACTTCACAATTCATGATGATCGCTGATGATTTTGCTCAAGTGGAACCTCAAATATTGAGAGGTTGTTTTTCCAAGTAAAGAGATTGGGGAAGTGAATGACGGGTCGGTGAGATTAAGCTTTTTATTGAAGGAGATGATCTTCTTCCAATGATTGGATTATTTATCTTAAAAAATTATTATTATTAATTTATTAATTTAAGCTAAGAACAGGTTTACTTTTGGAGAATGCTTCTCAATCGTGTGTATTTGGTATTTTAGTTCTTTTTATAAATATTATTTGAAGAAAATTTTCAAAAATTATAATTTTTTCTCCACTAATATTCAAAATAAAATTTTAATTAAGAACTATGCAAAACCATACTTTTGTTATATTAACTAAAGATTGTTTGAGAGTATAATTACTGTTATTTATTAAAATATTTTTTATTTTAAAATATATTAAAATAATTTTTAAAATTTTTTTAAAAATTATTTTTGAGATCAATGTATCCAAACAATTCAATATATATAAAAAAATTAACTTTTAATAAAAAATTAAATTTAAAAAAAAAAACAAATTAACCTCCATTTCCAAAAGCTCTGTAAACAATAATTGAATTTTCTTTTTATACAAAATATAGTCATAATTATTGAAATAAATGTACCTTTTGACAAACTCAATGGTTAACCCAAGACATGGATTGTTTTAAATTTTTAAATTAAAAAAATAGAGAAAAAAATTGAGCGACAATGAAAAATTCAAAAATTCAAGTTAACCCATGACAAGATTGACTCATGATTTTTTAAAAAAAAAACATTACAAAATAATAGTGTTTTGACCCTTCTATTTTTTAACTCGAGTCATATCTTAGTTCGGGTTTTATGACTTGGACAGAGAAGTGAGATTTGAAATTACTTATTTGATCTCTAATATGGATTTTCATTTTTATTTTTTTTCTAAAAAATAAAATTTTTAACCATCGTTTAACACCCACACCAAAACCATAGTTATTAAAACCTAAACCGGCCTAACGGGTTGACGTAAGACCTGGATAACTCGATAGTTAAACCGGTTCGGATAAAGTAAAAGAATGTCATGAGCAAAAACCCAATCAACCCGTAACCCGGGCAACTCAACAAAACCCGATAGAGACTCTTTTTTATTTTCAAATTTGTTTTTTTTTCTAGTCAAAGACCTTTTTTTATATTTTTTTTAGTTGTTTATTAAACCTTTTAAAATGTCATTATATAAATAATAAAAGAATATTTTGCTTTTTGAATATGGAATTCATTTAGTATATATATTCTATATTCATAAGAAAAAAATTATTTTTTTAATTAGAATTTGAAACCTTTTAATATATATATTCTATATTCATAAAAAAAAAATTATGTTTTTTTAACGTTGAATAAAAAATATTTTTGAATTAAATACTTCAACTTAAAATAATAATATAATATCTTATTAATGTGGAATAAAAAATCTTTTGAAATAATATTTTAAATTTTATTATTTACAATATATATAACTTATATTCACATGAATTATTTTTTAATTTTTTTTAATTTAAAATATTAAAACTTTAAATTTTTTTTTAATTTTTTTAAACTAACTCGGAATAATTCATATAATCCAAGATCTGATTTTTTAATCGGGTGAATCTCCAAATCAAGCATGATAACTATTACCAAAACTATAAGTTGTCCCTTGGTCTAATCCGTTTACTCATTTTTGAATTTCTAATTCGAGATGTAATATAACGAGCACATCCACTTTAATAGGAAGCATTAACAGAACTAAAGAATAGTTCATTCAAAAAGTATCTTTTTTCTTTGTTTTTTTCTACTTTTTTTATCCTTTTTTTTAATTTTAATTTACTTTTTTTAAAATCATTTTCTAACTTAAGATAAGATTTGGGGAATAAGTTTGTTTTATATGAATTATCTTAATTTCATAAATTGGATCATGAATTATGCAATTTAACTAAGTTGGCTTGGTTTTTTCATAATTTTGTTTTTATAATTTTATTATATAACATTGAATTAATTAAGAATTAATCTTTATAATTTATTTCAGTTTATTTTTTATGAGATTATTTTAATTTTATAACTCAAGTCATAAGTTTAGTAGATTAACCTGAGTTGACTTATATCTTTTTTAATTCTTTTGATTGGGTTTTTTTTTATATATTTCATCCATCAACATTGAATTGATTAGAACTTAAACTTTATAACTTATTTTCAATTCATTTTTATTGGATTATCCTGGTCTAATAACTTGGATTTAACAAGTTAACCTCGATTAACTTGAGTCATTTTTTAATTAATTTTTTTCAATTTCATCATTTAATATTGAATTAATTGAGAATTAAGCTTTAAAATATTTTTTGATTTGTTTTCTATGAGATTATCAAAGTCTCATAATCCAGGTCGTGAATTTTAAATATTAACCTGGATTAACCTAAGTTGATACAATATATTGGTGTCTTAATACTTAAAAAAAAATTATCCTAAAGTTTTTTTAGTCAAATTATATTTTTTTTATGCTTGTTTATATTGTTTTTGAACTTTTCAAGTTGACCAGACCATATCTAAAAATTTCTTGAATGATTTAATTTTTTAATTGAAAACATGTTAGCAACATCCAAATATTTTTTTAATATTTTTAAAAAATTAATCCAACCCATTACATAACAAAAGAAAATAATCTAGTATCAAAACCTAATTTCCATTTTCATTCCAATAAAAGTTATATTATCATCTTATTTCCATGTTGTCTCTAAATTCAAAGGAACCTATAGAAGTTAATATTTTTTTTATGTAAGTTTTATAGATTTGAGTTTGAAGGTAATAATTAAATCTGGTCATTATTGAATCAAAAAATTTTGAATCCAAAAATTAATCCAAGTTAGACATTGACTTGATAATTTAGTTGACTTGATAATTTAGTTGACTTGATTAGGTTTTTAGTTATTTAATTTCTTTGCATCAAACCTAACTAAGTTAATGCTAGAAAAACAAATAAAAAAAAATTACATTGTTTTAATAGAAGGTGAACTCACATGTTTATCCAATAAGATAAACCCTTATCCACATAAGTTGCTAGATTAGACTTCTAATCTTTGACAAACCGAAAACTCAATGTCTCTCTCCCTATCTATCTTATCTAATGTTTGAAATAAAACTTATATTAATTTATTGATAAAACTTTTATTTTTTATAATCTTTCTTTCAACTCATATTTAAACTCGAAATGTTAGTATGCTAAACAACTTATCAATCAATTATCCATAATATATAATTTGTCAAAGGGAAGCTTCCAACGTTTCAAAAGCTTTTTTATTTTCACCCCTATAGTTTTCCTCTCGATGAATTCATTATTGTTAGTGTATCTTAAGTAATAAATTATTGTTAGTGTAATTAAAATTTGTTGCCATCCATTGATTGCATTCAAACCAATAAACGATATTTCAACTTCTAAATCTTCAACCCTTCACTAAAGTTAGAACAAGTTGTTCTTTTTTTTCTTTTTTCTATAGATTTATAGAACTCAAAACATTCAAGATAACAACTTTTTTTATTGTTTGTTTCCACTCCACAAATTAAGACACTCCCAAACTTATTATTCCATGTATTTCTATGCTTTGATAATAATAAATGATTCTCAATTAACTCTATAGTTTAGGTAAGACATTTTTGGTTTAAAACTTATAATATAAGTTTATAATTCACTCAAAAAGATTTTTAAAGGAAAATTAATGCAAAGGTGGGCTGCTAGACTAAATATGACACTTAACAAAAAAAAAAACTTAATCTTGTTCATGCATGCATATATGTGGTTTAAAAAAACATCAAAGCAATTTCTAAAAAAACATAAAAATGAAAGAAAATCACACATGCAAGGAAAATAAAAACTAATATGGATGTTTTGGTTTTAAGGTTCAAAGTCTCATAAGTTTGTGTTTACTAAATCTAGTTACTTAATTCCTAATGATTGGAATGTCTTAAGTTTTTTTCCTGCACAATGCTATTTATCTTTAACATTTGGTATATCTTTTGGTGTGCTCCATATTTTTACTTAAAGGAATAGAGTTTAGCAAATAAAATATGGTTGAGAAAATATCAAATAAACAATACTAAATTGATAGTATTAATTTGTTCATGGTGTAAAACCATGTTTGGGTTGCCTTCCAATAATGCTTTTCTTTACTATCTTTGGCTAGACAACTCTTAATAGTTTTTCTTTCTTGGATTTTAGTTAGATCATTTGTAATAATCATTAGCAAAGTTCCATCCTTTCCTAATTACACATACTTCAAATATTTAGGCAAAAACTTCGAGGCCTATTCAATAGGTAGATCATTTATTCATCTTGTCTCAATCACTATAATAATTGTTTCGGGGCTTATTCAATGGAAGGTAAAACCTTTTCATAAGAATTTGATAGTTGTAAATAAGAGTTAACCAACCTGTTTAACATTTTAAGTAGTGAATGCAAAAACATAATTGATTCTTTCATATCTTTATTCTTCTCTAGTCTTGCATCCATATCTATCTTACTATGTTGTAATACAAAATTCAACTCATCTTTTAAGAAATTATGTTCATAATCATTTGTTACAATATGGTCAATTACTTTTATATAAAAAAGACATTTAGAGTCAAACTTACAAATTAAAAAAATATTTAAAGTCTTTTAGATATTTCATATTATAAAAAATGTTAAATGTTACTATTTCTCTAGCAAACTCAAAAGATAAATTACCCTAATACCCATCGACCTTAGTTCTTATTGTTTTCATAAATGGTCTACCTAACAATATATGAGTTGGATTTGAAGTAAACTCATCATTCATGCCAATAATGTAAAAATCAATAGGAAAAATAAGTTCATTTACTCTTGTATATCGGAAAGGAAAACTTACTTGTGAGAATTCGCTTTCTTATTCCTGAATCAATTACTTCAGTGCCACTTCAATTACTAGAACCAAAGTGATGTTCCACAGTATGAACGTCTTTATAAATCTTGTCAAGTCAATGTAGAGAATCAAGATATGAGAAGAGAAAGAGAGAACTATGTTTTTTCAATAATAAAAAACTTATGTTCTATATGGGTTATGTCCCTTTATATATGATTAGAGAAG